ATAGAATAGAATAGAATAGAATAGAATAGAATAGAATTCTTTATTGGCCAAGTGTGATTGGACACACAAGGAATTTGTCTTGGTGCAAATACTCTCAGTATACATAAAAGAAAAGATACATTTGTTAAGAATCAAGAATCATAACATACAACACTTAATGATAGTCATAGGGTACAATACGCAATCAAATCATACTAGGAAACAGTCAATATAAATCGTAAGGATACAAGCGACAAAGTTACAGTCATAGTCACAAGTGGGAGGGGATGGGTGATAAGGAGTGATGAGAAGATTAACAGTAATAGTAGTGCAGACTTTGTAAATAGTTGAACAGTGTTGAGGGAATTATTTGTTTAGCAGAGTGATGGCTTTCAGGGAAAAACCGTTCTTGTGTCTAGTTGTTCTGGTGTGCAGTGCTCTATAGCATCATTTTGAGGGAAGGAGTTGAAACAATTTATGTCCAGGATGTGAGGGGTCTGTAAATATTTTCACAGCCCTCATTTTGACTTGAGCAGTATTACAGGTCCTCGATTGAAGGCAGGTTGGTAGTAATTGTTTTTTCTGCAGTCCTAATTATCCTCTGAAGTTTGTGTCTGTCCTGTTGGGTTGCAGAACCAAACCAGACACTTATTGTTGTGGTTAGCCAGCAGCAGGTGCAGACAGTGGAAGAGACTGAGGATTCGGAGGAGGGGCCGGACCATCAGGGTGTGGACTGCTGCCTTCAGAGATGGTGGGGGCTGGCAGCAGTGACGAGGAGGTTTCAGAAGAACCTGTGCTCAGTGCATGTGAGCGCAGGATGCTTCATAGGAGGGAACAGCTGAAGCTGCATAGACGACTCAGGAGTAAGGAGGCAATGTAATGGCCCCTCCCTCTAGGGAATATAAGCCTGGTTGCCAACAGTTTTTGCCTTTGCAGAAGGCAAAAAGCCTTCGAAGGGTTAAGTGGGATGACAACAGACTTTGATTTGGTTTTTCTAATTGGATTACTTGGCTGCAAGCCATCTGGTAATGACAAAGGTATTTGTGGAATAAAACTGTGAACGTTTCAGTTTTGGAGTTTATCTTTGTTTTTGCTCGGGACTTCAACTGGGTCAGAACAGTTATAGAGGTGCAAATGATAGACTCAATAATTCCTCTGTAGAACTGGATCAGCAGCTCCTTGGGCAGTTTGAGCTTTCGGAGTTGGCGCAGAAAGAACGTTCTTTGTTGTCCTTTTTTGATGATGTTTTTGATGTTAGGTGTCCATTTTAGGTCATATGATATAGTAGAACCTAGAAATTTGAAGGTCTCTACTGTTGATACTGTGTTGTCTAGTATTGTAACAGGTGGTAGTATGGGAGGGTTTCTCCTAAAGTCTACCACTATTTCTACGGTTTTGTGTGTGTTCAGTTCCATATTGTTCCGGTTATACCATGAGGCAAGTTGTACAACCTCCTGTCTGTATGCAGATTCGTCATTGTCTAGAATGAGACCAATCACTGTTGTGTCATCAGCAAACTTCAGTATTTTAACAGATGGACTGTTTGAGATGCAGTCATTGGTATAGAGGGAGAAGTGGAGAAAGCACACAGCCTTGGGGGAGCTGTGCTAACTGTACAGGTATCAGATGTGATTCTGCCTAGCTTCACCTGCTGCTTCCTGTCTGTTAGGAAGCTTATAATCCACTTACAAGTGTGTTCAGGTACCGCTAGTTGGTTTAATTTACTTAGAAGGATGTCTGGAATGATGGTATTGAATGCTGAACTAAAGTCTACAAAGAGGACCCTTGCGTAGGTATTTGGAGATTCAAGGTGTTGTAGGATGTAGTTCAGAGCCATATTAACAGCATCATCTGTCGATCTATTTGCTCAGTATGCAAACTGCATAGGATCTAACAGCAGATCCGTGATGGTTTTCAGGTGGGACAGCACAAGCCTTTCAAACGTTTTCATAACTACAGATGTTAGAGCAACTGGTCTGTAGTCATTCAGTTCCTTGATGGAGGGCTTCTTTGGCACTGGGATGATAGTAGAGCATTTGAAGCAGGGAGGAACATAGCACATCTCTAGTGATCTGTTGAAGATTTGGGTGAAGATGGGGGCCAATTGGTCAGCACAGACTTTTAAGCAAGAAGGAGTTATCTTGTCTGGCCCTGGTGCTTTTCCTGACTTTTGTCTGTGAAATAGATCTTGCACTCCTTTTTCTGTGATCACCAGAGGTTGTGAACCCAACGGGTTGGGGACAGTTGTAGGAAGCTTGGCTGTTGTTGGCGTGTTTGAGATGGGGGTTGTGAAGATAGGTGGCTGTAGTTTCCTTTCAAACCTGCAGTAAAACACATTCAGGTCATCTGCTAGTGGTTGATTCCCTTCTGCCTGGGGAAGGAAGTTTGCTGTAGCCGGTGAGGTTTTTAAGAGTTTTCCACATGTTTGCTGGTTCGTTTGTTGAGAACTGATTCCTTAACTTTTCAGAGTAGCTTCTTTTTGTTGCTCTGATCTCCCTTGTTAATATGTTTCCGGCCTGATTGTACAGCATTCTATCACCTTTTCTGTAGGCTTCCTCTTTGGAACGACATAGCTGCTTAAGTTTAGCTGTGAATCAAGGTTTATTACTATATATTTGCAGGTTCCTTGTTGGTACACATAAGTCTTCACAGAAGCTGACATATAATGTTACAGTATCTGTGAGCTCATCTAGGTCTGCAGAGGTATCTTCAAAAACATTCCAGTCAGTGCAATCCAGGCAGACAGCTGCTCGTGGTAAAGACCTATAAGCATCTTTTACTGTTGTGTAGCAGTGGTCTAAAGTATTTTTGCCTCTGGTGGGACAATTGACATGCTGGAAATATTTTGGGAGCTCTTTCCTTAAATTTGCTTGATTAAAATCCCCTAAAATGATGGGAAGGGAATCTAGGTGTTTGGCTTCAGCCTCCATAATTTGATCAGCAAAAGTTCTTAATGCCTTATTTACACAGGCTTGTGGAGGAACATACACAGCTATTAGGAAAAATGAGGAGAGCTCTCATGGAGAATAAAATGGCTTGCAGTTGATATGTAAAGACTCTAAATTTTCATCACAGAATTTATATATTGTGGTTATATCCTGAGACCAGGTGTTGTTGATATATAAACATAATCCTCCACCTTTTGTTTTACCTGATGCCTCTTCAATTCTGTCTGATCTAAATATCTGAAATCCTGGGATGTAAATGGTGTTGTCCCCATGAATTTGTGGATTAAGCCAGGTTTCAGTAAAACAAAGAACTGCTGAATTGTAGAAATCAGAATTGCATCTATTTAAAAGGAGAATTTCATCCATCTTGTTAGCAAGTGAGCATAAATTAGTCAGAAAGATTGAAGGTTTTTCCCCCTTATTCCTTAGTCTATTTAAAATTCCTGCTCTTTTACCTCATCTCCTTTTTTGGTGCTGCCGCTTCTTTGTTTGTTGTAATCCATAGCACCGGAAAATTAGTTAAAATCTCCTTCAAGTTTGCAAAGACTGGGAGGGGGGGGGTGAAGAATCAGAAAGCTGATCCTTAAAGAAACATTGTCCAATTCTTAGCAGATGGTCTTGTGAGTATGAAATCAGTAGTGAACTGCAGATAATAAAGAAACCACTAGAGAGCATTTCACGGAGGCAACCATCGTCGGCACCATCTTGGATCATCTGAATAGGTAATGATATTGATTTGGACTGTAGTATTAGAAGAATCATATGCCTGCATCAAGTACATCTTTAAAAAGACATATTGACATTAGGAAGTACTTTGTGAAGAATCTTCCCTAATGCAGATACCCTCCTGAAGGATAGTCTACACATAAAGAGGAAGTTCAAACTGGAGACGGTTACTGTGATCAAGCCAAAAGCTAACTCACTTTTAAATCTTCATGACAGTCAGAACTGCAAAAGTGTTTATTCTCAGGCTGACTTACAGTTCAACCTTCATTTCGGTTTAGTCATTGTTAAATCTGCAATAAATCTACTAACATACCATCTGTACACTTTTTTCCAGTTCCTGAGGAATTGCAAAGGTAGATGAAGGCGCCGGGGTCAAAGGCCATGCTCCAGCCTGAAAAATAACCAAGTTAACATTTTTTTACCCCAGTCTTTCTCCAAAAGGAATTATCATTCTTAAACAAACATAAAGGAGACATGGTAAAAAAAAAAACCAACCCCCAAACCAAGTACCATCAAAGGACCAGAGCTATGAATAACCTTATTTGAAAGTATAAACCATAGAAATCCATGGAAACTAAATAAAGGAAAGTCTCATTTGTCTCAACCCTGGTTCCTGATTCATGAACATGTCCATGTCAGTGATCCTGGAAACAAAGCAAAATGCTACAAAAAGGCACTTAACAAATTGGCTTTAAAAGAAAAAGTTGACTTTAGTTTAGAGCTGTGGTGGCACGGTGGTTAGAATGCAGTACTGCAGGCTACTTCTGCTGACTGCTGTCTGCCTACAATTTGGCAGATCGAATCGCACCAGGCTCAAGGTTGACTCAGCCTTCCATCCTTCTGAGGTGGATAAAATGAGGACCCAGATTGTTGGGGGCAATATGCTGACACTGTAAACCGCTTAGAGAGGGCTGTAAAAGCACTGTGAAACAGTATATAAGACTAAGTGCTATTGCTATAATAAAATAGCAGACAAGGTCCAGACTCTACAGTTCGTATTCCTGCCAAAGTCAAGCATTAAGGGAACAATCATACTATGTCTGCAGGCTGAAAGTTATGTCTACTTCCCTACTAGCTTCTTTGTTTTTACTACTTTACTTTTCTCTCCAGGGTCTTAACCAGTCACAAATATAAAGCATTTAACTGAGTTTCTCATCTTGACAAAAACAGTCATGGACAATATGAAAATCAGCACCATAGATGGTGCTTCCAAGCATGTCACAAATATGTCACAAGAGATTTTAGGCTGCTGCTGCTGCCTGATATTCTTTTTGCAGCTTCGCATATTTTCTTGCAAAATTGACTCCAACTCATCCATACAGATGCTTCTGCATTAACATTTTTGTGAATAATGGTCTGTGTTACTGATGAAGTTGTATGAAATACAAAAAGCTCCTATAGAAAGCAAACTTGTATACAAGAAATTACAAAATATTCAGGATTTACATTCAGTGAATGTTTGCTCTTCATCATATATTATCTGTAAACTCAGGTATCAAAATGTAATGCAATCAAAATAGGGACCACGCAAAAAGGAGCTATCAATCAATGTTTGTAAATGTTGACAAAATGCCTTAGAAAAACATAAACTGAAGACAGATGGGGGGAAGAATGCTCAGTGTTCATAAATAGTTGGAGGCTGGCTATAACAGAAGAAAATGTTCTGAAAGCAAGCAGTCCTAATAGACAGACCACACTAAGAAACAAAAACCAAGCAGACCAAAAACTACTTTTTTTAGAACAGTATAGTCGCAGAATCTTGCAAGCATAGGGAGCTCTCAACCTACGACTACAATTGGGACCAGAACTTCCATCACTAAGCAATGTGGCCATTAATTGAGTCATATATAATTCATCACAATTGCACCTGAATTATGACTTTTTGTCACGATTGTTAAGTGAATCCCCATGGTCATTAAGCAAATCTGGTTTGTCCCATTGACTTTGCTTGTTGGAAACCGGCTGGGAAGGTTGCAAATGGTGATCACATGATCTTGGGAGACTGCAACCATTGTAAAATCATGACAGTTGCCAACCCTCTGAATTTTGATCACATGAATATAGGTAAGCTATGATGGTTGCAATCGTGAAGACCAGTCATAAGTCACTTTTTCAGTGCGATCACAACTTTGAACGCTACCTAAACAAATGGGTCATAAATCAGGGACTACTTCTATGGATATGCTTCCCCTCCTCCCTTTTCTATCTTCATGAGAATTAAGTGTCAGGGAAATACTTTAAGAGCTGACCAGCTGCTACGCTGAAGTAATGATGTAATACAATGATGTAATGATGGAAATGAGTCAGCAAGATTACTGGGCTGATATCACTTTAAGAGCCTGTAATAAGAAGAGACCAGGTTGGGGCATATCTTTCTCCATGTGTGCTTCTGTGCTGTAAATTGCTGATTGCTGTTTGAAGACTAAAGAATATGTATGTATATATTCTTTGTAGATAAACCACTATTTAAATATAAACCTCTGTTTACTGTATTTGCTCTTGGGCTGTCTCACATAGTCACACTGTGCACACTCTGACAGGGAGGTTGTCTGAGGCATTTTCATAAACCATTTTCTTAACCTGGGCTCAAGTCTTCTTTATTGATCATTGCCCTTGCAGTGGATCTCCCCTCTGTCCTTCAAGACTATTCTCTACACTCACTGTAATATCTGAAGTGCAGACCCCACACCTCTTGTACTTGTTTTTGTTACAATCAACATTACACACTAAGTGTGGACACACAAATCAAAACACAAATGGACACATTTCTTTATCAGTACCTGAAGAACATATATCTGAAAACTAATTCCCAAATCTACGATGATGTCTTGATTTTTTATGAAGCTGTTGAATTTGTTGTTAAGATCTGCACTAACGCTCATGTCTGTGTACATTCGATGGAGTTTGCTGGTGAACTCATAACCACAGGCTTGCTGGGGGGGAAAAACACACATACCAGATTTGTAGCTTGACACTGATAAAGGCTGTAAGCATTAAGTGAATGAATAGCCTATAACATTTTAAAGGAACAACATAATATATTTGCTAGATATATTTACCCAAAAGCTAAGTATGTTAAAAGACAGATATTTCTGAGAAACTATTTGTCTTAAGAAGAATGAGGACCTTAGAAAAAAAAGGTGTGGTGTCAAAAGTGATTCAATAAATATATATTCTATGAATGCATCAAAGTTAATTGTTAATATGGTAAATATATACAGTATATTACCATACAAACAGAAAGCTCTTTTGGGGTTCTCCATCATTTTTCAAAGTAAGAAGAGATCCTGAGAGAAAAAGGTTTAAGAAACACTGCTCTATATAATATTGACACTGAATAATTTAAAAGTGAAAAGCTACTATTTAAGCCAGGGGTGTCAAATTCACAGACCAGATGAGTCATGTGCTGGCCACGCCCATCAGTTTAGGGAAGGGGAAAAAGTCACAATACATCATGTGATGACAATGTGATGCCGTGAGTTTGACACCCCCTGATTTAAGCAGTATTCATTAATGCCAAGTAAATACCAACTATTGTCACAAGGATACTAGTAGGATAGTGTTTATTGTATCCCCAGAGTAATTGAGCAGCATGCTTTTTGGTCCTCATGTCTGGAGTAGTTTCAAACTTTTTATTGTCCTATAAGTAGTGTAAATAAATGAACTGTCATTAGGTAGCATTTACAAAGTAAAAATAAAAGCTACAACCCCCAGTTTTAGATTCCCTCTCAAGCTTTCAGATATTCTGAAATAAGTAGAACCAATTTACAGGAGACTGTGATGAGATCTGTAAACCACATGCAATAAAGTCTATGGAAATTCTCAATCATCCAGTTCATGGTTGTCCCAAATGTGCTTTTCAAAAGGTAACTGGACTTTCTTGGTTTTTTCTTTGAAAGTGATTTGCTTCTCATCCAAGAAGCTTCTTCAGTTCTGAATTGAAGAAGCATCTTGGATGAGAAGCCAAATATTTTTAAAAAAACCAAAAACACCTCATCATATGTTTAAAAGTTGACTTACAATCAGATTAGCAACTGTTTACAATATGAATAAGTACTGAGAAGAGCTGGGTTTATTGTACTGATAAACTAGTACTTACCTTTAATTTGTTAATCATAGCTTCTTCAGAATCCATGGACATTGATAAACCATGTATAAGCCGTTTTGCCAACATTCTGGCATAGAACTACAGTTAGAAAAAAAAACAAGTTCAGATTTGCTTGCATTTCAAAAGTATTCTCCAAGGGGAAAATAAAAGCAAATTAATCATCTATATGATTATTTACCTTTTGAAAAACATCTTTATCATCAATGTACTTGAAAACTGTAATGAAGCTTGTAAGTTTGTCTTCTACTTCATTTTCTGTCATGCCTTTTGCTGATTTTTTTAGCAAATTGTCACAATATTTGGCCAACTCAAGTTGCAAGAAAAAGAATAGTCATTAAAGCAAATAGCAATAAAGCATAATGACAACTAATGGATAAGCAACTTCAGTTAAGCAAACGCATGTAATGAAGACATTATCTAAGTTAAATAAAATAACCTTTATATATTTGTTCTTCAGTTTTACATGCCACTTCACTTGCAAACAGACTCTTAAAGAATCATAATCAGACCATAGTGCTTCCTAGAAAAGCCAATTTTTAATGGCTTTACTAAATCCCACAGGACTGGCGTTGACCTGATCTCAAGAGCATGCTTTTGCACAGAAACAGGGCAACAATGGAAAAGACCTATGTTTGTGGTCCCTTATGGAAATACTTTTTTTAGAATGGGGACCTAAATAGATTCTCCACTTCAGACCTTGTTGAATGGGCAGTTACTGTTGGAAGCAGGTAATTGTGAAGATATCTGGGTCCTGAACTTTGTGGGGCTTTAAAGTGACAACCAGAACCTTGATTTGTACGCTGAAGCCATCTGGTATTGCAGTAAAAATTCCTGCAATACAACTGTTATCTGGACAAACTGAGATACACCCATAACATCTCTGGCCATCATTCTGTAAGTTTTTGTTATTTGTCTGCAAAAACCATTCAAAATATTATCTGGCATTCTACACTTACAGTTGAGCACATAAATCTCGCATTTGATACTTACCAGCTCAGGAGCTTTGCAAATAGACTTTGGTTCCCTATAGTTCACTACTGATGTTAAAGCCTATTTAGGAATGTAAGAAAAATAACGTTTACAAGTTGTGCTAATGTAACAACACAGACCACGCATGTGTAAGTAATACCAATGAATTCCAAAATGCTTCCTGACAGGGGAGAAATGGGGTTCTCCATGTTTCCTGACATGGAGAAGCTGGGATTAGAATGTTGGATTAGGACTGGAGAGATCCATCTTCAAGGTTCAATATACCCAATTATGGAATTTCACTTGAATACTCTGAATCAATCACTACTTCTCAGTTCACTCTCCCCTCTGTAGTATAGTCTACAATGATAGCAAAGACAGCAATGTATTAATTGCTTATTGAATTTTAACACTGTAATGTGATTTCTAAAACTGACCTGAAAATTTATAATTTTACAATAGTTTTTAGTAAGATAAACAGTGGACCAGGTTATAGGGCTTTAATTAGACCAGTGCATGGAATAGGACAAGCATACATGATAGCCTCTGGATTGTTTAATTTACTTATGGATAAATGCAGTGGCAGTAGAGGTTGCATGGGTTCGGTACAGGAATACATGTCCTTTTGTATGCAGATGATGTTGTGCTGTTGGATGTGAAGTCAAATGATTTGCAGCTAGACTGCATGATAAAGCAGTAGTCGCCAACCAGTGAGCCGTGGCTGGGTGGAAACACAAGGCTGCGCTGCCCACATGGCCCACCCACCCACTGGCCAAATGCAAACCTGCAAAAAGCTGTACAGCCCTCGCCGGCCAGGACGAGGTAATGGTGCTGTTGCAGCAAGAGGGGGCTGGTGGCACAGGTGTGCTGAAGCGGCGATGGAGATGGCTGGAAGGTGCAGGAGCGCCACGCTACTTGCATTTGCGCGGAACTCCTGCACCTTCCAGCTCGCCTCTTCTGGCCTGGGCTTTTCCTTGATGGCTGCGGACTGTAGGGATGGCCCGGGGCAGGAAAAGTACCGGCTGGTGGTGGTGTGAGGGGGTGGAGTGGGCAAGTCTGCACTCACCATCCAGTTCAGAGGTCCGGAATGGGGTGTTGTCGTCAGTTTTCTTGTCCCTCTTGGCGCTCTGCTCTGCTGCCCCCCCGCCCCCAGCCATCGCTGCCCAGGGAAGGCACAGGAAAAGTGAACAGAAACATAGCTCTCACTGGGGTGAAAGAGCTGAGATTGAGGAAGGCACAGGCAAGAGAAGAAGGAAGTTGCCGCCTTTGAAAAGTGCCGCTTTCTATTGCCTGTGCCTTCCCTGATCTCTGCTCTTTCGCCCCAGCAAGAGCTATATTTCTGCTTGCTTCCTTTTCCTGTGCCTTCCCTGGGCAGTGATGGCTGGGGCCGTTGGGGGGGGGCAGCAGAGACATCAGGGCTGCTCTCCCCCCTCAGCAAGCCAGGCCTGGAGGAATGCAAAGAATTGTGGGTGAGCGCTGGAGAAATGCTTGTTGGAAATGCCAACACATGTTTCCAGTGCGCTCTCCTCTGTCCCGAAGTAGGATTGAGTGGGGGGAAGGGAGCAGGGGGAAGGGTAGGAGGGAAGAAGCCCGGCTGCCTTTCCTTTGGCATGGGGTGGCAGGGAGACCAAATGCCGAGACCAAAAGAGCTCCAAGGAAGACAGGTTTCTAATAACCAGCCTGTTTGTGTAGGCAAGAGCTCGAGCTTTTCTGGGCTCGACAACGCCCCCTTCAGCCTCCACACAGGGAGGGACCCTTCTCTGCTTGGAAGCAGTGGGAGAAATCTGGAGCTTAGCCTCAGGGAGTCCTCTTCTTGTGTGGAGGCCAAAGGGGGAGGTGTTGTCTGGTTATTATGAGCCCATCTTTCTTGGTGCTTCCAGCCTGGCCCTCCTTCCCTCCCCCAATTCCAGGCAGCCACACCTGGCAAAGGAGGGAGAGGTTTTCTCTGACTTGGGGGAGATATGAAATGACAGGAGACCAGATTTGAGCAGGGCTCTGCTTTTCTTCCATTTGAGGGGGAGCCGGTTCCTCCCCGTCGAGATCTTCCCAGCCTCCAGGTACCATGTGGCTTCTTTTGAATCCCAGCAGTATTAAATCCTCCCTCTTTCCCCTCAAAGGATGAGAGAGGCCTTCCTTTCCCTTCGCTCTGCCCCACAGTTATGATTAAGCATTTACGATTTTGTTATAATTAAATAGAGATAGATAGATAGATAGATAGATAGAGATATATAGATATTAAATATATTATCTTTTTTTAAAAAAATCGTATTAGTAGTCCTCGGGATTTAAAAGTATGAGTTTGGTGGTCCCTGAGGTCCAAAAGGTTGGCGATCCCTGTGATAAAGGATATGTATCTGAAAATTAATGTAAGGGCAAACTGGAGTAAATGACTGTAAGTTATATACAAATGAGGAAAAAGTAAAGTGGATGAATATGTCAGCCTTAGGAGAATGTTTACTAAAGTTAGGGAAATAATGGAGAAATATATGTATATATATTTCTGAAGCAAGACTAAATTATAAATGGTATGTTCACTAATTGCAACTTTAGCCCTAGTGAAAATCCAAGGACATATTAAAGCACAATTTGTAGACAGAAAAACACACCAAGAACCAAGACTGCCCCTTCTCTCTCAATAATCAACTAACCCAGAAATATGCTAATCTCTCTTAATTTAAGTCACCCTTTTCTACAGACAAGCTGGACTGCTAATAGGCTAATGCAAAGAAGCATCTTGACTGATTCTACTGTACTTGTAGATGTCTTCTAAACCCCATTTAGCAAGGACATCATTAGAATTGGAAGGAAAGGAAGAAATTTTTCTTTTTCATAATATTATGCCTAAAGTAGAACTCGGCAGTAGCCTGTTCTTCCTGCTTTGTGAGAGATGCAGGTAAATCTGCATAGCATATCTGAGCATTAGCAAATTAAAAGAAGCTGCAGAAATCAAAGGGCTAGAATGGTTTTTGTTTTTTTATAGGGCAGACTTTGGTTGGCTGATGAAACTGTTTGGAATTTTCTTATCCCACAGAGCTTTATACCTGGTTTATTAGGGCTTCTCTGTTCATCAAAGCGGTGTACCTACAGATAAGTGACTTCTTTTTCATCCTGTGACTAGTTATTGCCTAATTGCTTCCTTATGGGCTTGAAAGTTTAACATTTATTGTTTCCTATATGGTAGTGTAGCTTCCAACATCGTTAAAATTTGTCAACCCATATTCAAAGGATCTTAGTGACTTTAGCCAGGTAGCAGAGCTGTTCATATACTTGGGGTAGGTTTTATCTTCTTTTGTGTGTGATTAATTGGGAGTGAAAATAGCCCAAAACAAATGCATTATTTAAGTGTTCAGCCATTTCTAAGTCTTACTCTTTCTCTTGAAAGCAAATGTTAAAATCACAGCAATATATTCAGTGCCCCCACCCCCCATTGGAATGCCTGCTTTTACGAAACAAATTGCTTAGGCCACCTTTCCTTCTTATGTACACTATAAATGTGGAAATGGATGAGAAATTTTAAGAGGTAGTACAGTTTTTTTCAAAGTTGGCAACTTTAAGATGTGTGGAGTTCAACCCCCAGAATTCCCCAGATACTGTGCCCGCACATCTTAAAATTTTCAAGTTTAAAAAACAGTGTACTAAAGGGCAATATGTGGTCTGTTGTAAGGAATGAAAGATTATCCCAAAAAAGGAAAAGATGGCAGAGTAATTCTTCCCACTTTCTCATCTGGAGGTGGGAGTTGGAAACAACAGAGAAAAAAAATGAAACAATGTAGGAAGAATGAGTTAGGAAATACGTGTTGTAAAACAAGATGATTTGGGTCTAGGACAGGGGTCTCCAAACTTGGCAACTTAAGACTTGTGGACTTCAATTCCCCATACTGGCTGGAGAATTCTGGGAGTTGGAGTCCATAAGTCTTAAAGTTGCCAAGTTTGGAGACCCTTGGTCTAGGATGAAAGAGTGCTGCATGAAAACCAAAGAGAGAATGAATGAAAAGGATTCAAACTACAAAACAAACATATGGAAGGAAAAGAATATGGGTTAAGAGGAAAGGGAAGACAAACAACATTGTGACTGGATGGAGTTGCAGAGATCCTCCAGGAGCGCTCAGAAATTTAAAGATCAAAGAGGACAGAGACATTGAAGCTTTTTCAATCTGAAGCCAAAAAGTTACTTCTGTGATACCTGACTGCTCCTCCTTAAAGAAGCGATACTGTTCCCCCACCTGTAGATCATTCATACAGTTTCAGGAAAATACCAATTTGGGTTAAAGGAGACAGTGACACTGTGTGACAAGGGATTGTGAATGAAATGAAGTATACTAAAGTGTATTTCTTTTTCTTATTTCATGACTTCTAGTTTTTTTGCTTTACTATTTCTTACTCCTTTTCTAAGTTTTGCATTACACTGCTTAACCAGAAAAGGATTAAGAAGGGAGGCGTGCATAAAATGACAGAAATTTAAGTCATAATAAGGAGGCCCCATTTCATTATTGCTGTTTGGGATTGCCATTCAATGGACAAGTTAATCATCCTCACAAATTAAGGGTTGCCTCAAGGCATCTTTTAAGAGACCCACTCAAATCAAAGGGATTTGACATGAGTAATCAAAAAGGGTAAAGTCTGCTTCAAGTCAAGCTTGAGGACTTAGTAAAACCACCCATGTAGTCTTCTTGGCAACAATGGGGTCTGGGACATTTAAGCGTCAACCCTTGGCCCCCAGACACCCTCCTCAGACTATTCACAGCCAGCTTTTCTCCTCTGCTGGCCCTCCCCCAGCTACTGTCCACCGCCAATGGCCCCTGGCCCTCCACATTCAGCCCTTCATCCTGGCCCTTTCCCCCAGGCACCATTTGTCCCAGGCGTTTCGCTCCACAGGACAAAAAGCCACCATCTGGTGGCAGGCAGACAAGATGGCACTGGGGGAAGCGAACGAGGGGGCTGTGGGCAGTGTACAATATGATCAGGGCAGGCTGGGGGAGAGATCAAGATCTGCAGTGGCATGTGGCTGCAGGGGGGGCGCCGCAGGCGAATGGTGGTGATGCATGGCTGGTGTTGCAGGGGGGCAAACAGTGGCGGGGTGCACGGCAGGCCAACAGTGGCAGCGTGTGGCTGCTGGCATTGGGGCAGTGAACAGTGGTGACATGTGGCAGGGCGGGAGCAGGCGAACTGCCCATTCAGCCTCAGGCCGGCAGGATCAGGTGCATGATAGGGTGTGGGCATCCAAAATGCCAGTTCAGAGTCAGGCCAGAGTCCAGGCGCAGAGGCAACAGTGTGGGGTGTGTGTGTCAAAATGGGAATCCCCCACCCATGGCTGCCTACCTGTTGCCCGCCCCGCCCGGAGCCAACCCACTTCCACCAACCAGACAACTTAAAAAAAACCTTGTGGAGTGGTGCCAGTGCCTTCCCATTTTGACCCCCCGCCCCACTGTTGCCTTTGCGCCTGGACTCCATCCTAACCCTGAACGGGCAGTTCTCCTGCCGCCCCCCCACTCACCCAATCCTGTCAGCCTGATGATGAATGGGCAAGTTCACCTGCAGGCCCCTACCCCACCCCCAATCCTGCTGTCTTGATGGCAAACAGGCAGTTTGCCTGCCACCCCCTACTGTGCCCCCAATTCTGTCAGCCTGACGGCGAATGGGCAGTTTGCATTCCACTGCCCCACCGTGCACCATCACCATTCGCCCCCCGCAACACCAGCATGACGCCGAATGGATGCCAAACAAACAGTTCAGCTGCCTCGAACCCCACGCACCCGATCCTGCTGCCCTGCTGCCGAACGGGCAGTTTGCCTGCTGCCCCCCCAATTCTGCCGGCCTGATGCTGAATGGACAGTTCACCTGCGCCACCCCACCCCACCCCCGATCCTGCCAGCCTGACACTGAACAGGTATTTTGTATCTTGTTCTCTCCCCCAGCCTGCCACCGATCACAATGCACACTGCCCCCCCCCCAGCCCTCTTGGTTGCCCACCACAGTGCCATCACTGCTGCCTGATTGGCTGGCAACATTTTGTCCCATGAAGCCAAGAGCCAGGGACAAATGGTGCCTGGGGGAAAAGACCTGGGCAGAGGGCCACTGGCAGTGGACAATGGCCAGGGGAGGGCTAGCAGAAGAGGAAAGCTGGCTGTGAATCGGCTAAGGCAGGTGGCTGGGGGCGAAGGGGGCGCAGCCAAGGAACGGTTCCTAAATGGCCTATTCCGGCCCAATGTGAAAGGGGTTTGACACTGCTCTTTCTGAGATGTTTTTTTAACAACATCTCAGTCTCACCAACCAATCTGGCATTCCATGGTGGTGTTCCATCCAAATACCAGAGGCAACCCTGCTTAGCTTCCAAATAGCATAATTTCCATGGGTTTGCTCTAACCCTATTCACCTCTGGCTGTAACCCTATGTTCTTCAGGTATTTGGTCTATGTAGTATTTTCATTAGGCTCACCTTGTCAAGGGCACTCATGAATCGCTGGTCACCATTCAAAACAGTATTAATGAGCTGAACAAATTTACTGTGTACTTCCAACACTGATTCTACAAATTGAGTGGGCATCTGAAGACAAAATCAGACAGAACAACAAGAACAGGCAGTTCTGTAACAATTTATAGGGAAATAATTTTGCAAGAAAGAAAAATGAATACTGTTTCTCATACCCTATTAAAGTATGAATCTGTAAAAGAATAAAATTCTCAAAATGTTTTCTATCATCATTTTACAATGCTAGTAATCAGGTTCTCAAATTTTATTATATCTACCATCTCCTACATAGTGCATTCCAGATGTGTTGGAAGTCAGTTCCCCCAACTCCCAGTTCATATAAGCCTCAAGTTCAAATTCAATTCATTTGAAGTGAATGATTATTGCTAAGAAAAACTGCCTGAATTTGATAAATGGGTTGATAGTGCTTCAAGGAAAAAAGAAGCTGAACAATTAGGGCAGGTCCTTCCTACTAACTGACATTTCTTCCTCTGTTAATCCATTGGGGCCTCCTGCCTCTGTTGTCTGATGTTTCCTAGGCAACATCTCTTCCCCTCATTCCACAAGGTTATCTAAACATTCCATTACATGTACAGAAACCTGAAAACAGAAAACAATACCCTAATCAAGGAACTACCAAGGAGAAAGCCACACCCCCAACAACACTGGAAGGACAAGCTACTATATAAAAGCAGAGAACAAACTGCACACTCACTAGCACTGGTGATGCTACCTAGTTGGGTAATGAAATGCCTGCAAACAACCATGCTCAGAAAACACCAAGGACACCACAGTTCCACCCTGAGCTACAGAAATTCTTTTCTATGAGATGGTAAATGTAATGCATTTTGAACTTATGTGTGTGGGAAGGGCTTTATTAAAGACATAGGATTAACTATTCTCTTTGGCTGATGAGCTTGACTGGTATTTTAAATACATGTGTCTATGCTGTTTTCTTCACCACTATAGAGAAATGGGTGGACAAGCTAAACTACTTACTCAAATCAACTGTAAATCATTCAAGCCCAACTACATGTTAAATTACTCATTTTTTTTCCCTAGTGAAAGTAGCAATAGTGGTCTACACCAGACTACCAAATGGAAAATACTTAAGTCAAAACAAATAAGCAAACTTACAATAACTACTGACATTTTGGGACTTTGACGTATCAAATGATTTTTTTCCACTGAAGGAAAAAAAAACTTACATTTTCCTGAGAAAGACTGCTGGTTGATCTAAGGCCCTCATCATGGATATAGTTTTGCAGTTCCTGAATCATATGAGGTAAGCCACTCGGCACAGCATGAAGCAGTATGTAGATGTTTGCCATATCTGCATAAAGAAAGAAGTTGGTTTTCAGGATATACACTATGTGCACAATTATTAGGCAAGTTGTATTTTGGAGGATTAATTTTATTATTGAACAACTACAATGCTCTTGGTCAATCCAAAATGTTAATAAACCTCAAACCTGAATATTTAAGAAACTAAAAGTGAGCTTTTGGCTTTCTTAGGAGAATATCTATGTGTGCATAGTTATTAGGCAACTCTTAGTGTGCAGAATTATTATGCAACTAAATGAAAAATGAAATTTTTCCCATCTCACTCATTTATTTTCATCTGTTAAAGTGAGAACAAACAAACAATTCAAACTGTATAAACAAACATTTCTGACATTTCAAACAAAAAAATCAGTGACCAATATAGCCACCCTTGTCAATAACAGTAATAAGCCTTCCATTCATGGAGTCTGTCAGTTTCTTGATCTGTTGATGATCAACTTTTTGTGCAGCAGCAAGCACAGCTTCCCAGACACTGTTCAGAGAGGTGTACTGTTTTCCTTCATCGTAAATCTCTCATTTAAGAATGGTCCACAAGTTCTCAATAGGGTTTAGGTCAGGTGAGAAAGGGACCCATGTCATTATTCTTCCATCTTTAATGCCTTTACTGGCTAGCTATGCAGTGGAGTACTTCAGTGCACGAGATGGAGCATTGTCCTGCATAAAAATCATGGTCTTCTTGAAAGATGCAGACTTTTTCTTGTACCACTGCTTGAAGAAAGCGTCTTCTAAAAACTGGCAGTAGGTTTGGCAGTTGATTTTGAATCCATCTTCAGCTCAAAAAGGTCGAACTAGCTCATATTTAATAATTCCAGCCCACAACAGTACCCCACCTCCACGTTGCTGGTGTCTGAGTCAAAGTGGAGCTCTGTACCCGTTACTGATCCAGCCATGGGCCCATCCATCTAGTTCATCAAAAGTCACTTTCATCTCATCAGTCCAAAAATCCTTTGAAAAATCTGTCTTCATATATTTCTTGGCCCAGTCTTGCCGTTTCAACTTATGTGTCTTGTTCAGTGGTGGTCTGGTTTCAGCCTTCCTTACCTTGGCCATGTCTCTGAGCACTGAACACTTCGTACTTCTGGGCACTCCAGGTAAGTTGCAGTTCTGGAATATGACAGCACTGGAGGATAATGGGTTCCTGGTAGCTTCACGTTTGATTCTTTCCTAAATCTTTGGCAGTTAATTTGCATCTTTTTTGCTCAACACATTTCTTGTGACCCTGTTGACTATTTGCAACAAAATGTTTGATAGTTCTATGATCAAACCCCAATATCATAGCAATTTCAAGAGTGCTGCATCCCTCTGAAAGACATTTTACAATTTTTGATTTTTCAGAGTCAGTTAAATCTCCTTTTTGGCCCATTTTGCCTAGGGAAAAGAAGCTGCCTAATAATTTTGCCCACCTTGATATAGGGTGTTGATCTCCTTAGGCCACACCCTCCCTCATTACACAAATACACATCACCTGACATGCTTATATCCACGAAGCATTCAAGTTTATACAGCTTGGAGGTGGAAAATATGCATAAAATGATGATATGGTCAAAATACTCACTTGCCTAATAATTGTGTACACAGTGTACACTTTCACAAAAATCACTACTTTCAAATGCTAACATAGAAACAGCATGATGACTTTGTTAGCCATAATTCTTTACTAAGAGAGTGAGTGTGTGTGTTGACATTTGCAGGTCAGTTTAAGCCAGGAAACCTGCTTTATACAGTCACAATGCATAGACATAGACATGGAAACTGCTTAGCACTGGATATGGCAGAATCATAAATTAGCTTTAGACCAATAAATAAAAGGAAAAGAAAGGTATACAGCTCTGATGAAACACTTGATCCTAATCCACATTTACTCCATATGTTAAATAGCCTAAGAGACTAATGGCAATCCCTACTATGTTGAATGGCGATTCACTTTAGTAAGAAGGCAAAGTATTTTCCAATTTTTATCCCACAGGACACCTTTACCATTTCTCTTCTCTTGTCTGATGATGTTATGACATTCTGCATGAAGAAATTGTAAGTGGTCTGCTACCATTCGTTGTTGGCATTCATTGATTACTTTGCTGTAGGAACTGGGGTGTAGATATTTTCGACATCTCATTTCTTCATTTTTTATTCTACATAAAACCTAAAAGTAATTTTCCACATTAACAGCATAATCAAATACTAAATGACTATAAAAGTAAAAGGAATATATATTTTCAAGTTATCATGGCCAGTTCAAGACTGAGGTGAATGTAAAGAATTCATTTTTCAAACTATACACTCAAAATACAACAAAATGTTTGATAGTTCTGTCATATCATACCAATTTCAAGAGTGTTGCATCCCTCTGAAAGACATTTTACATTTTTTGACTTTTCAGAGTCAGTTAAATCTTCCTTTTTGGCCCATTTTGCCTAAGGAAAAGAAGCTGCTTAATAATTTTGCCCACCTTGATATAGGGTGCTGATCTCCTTAGGCCACACCCTCCCTCATTACACAAATACACCTAATTCCATTATTTGTGACATTATGCAATAAGAAAGCAAAAACATTATATGGAAAAAAAGTAGAAAAAGTGGATTGGGGTGACCTGTAGGATCAAAAAATAATTTAAAAATTCTTAAAAGAAATTTAATAAAGGACAAACAACACCAATAAGGCTACAATGTTGTCATGGAAGTTTTGCAAATAAATATCCTGAAGATTTCAATTTCAAAACATTTTTCAGGATTGTCCCCTATTAGGATCTTTTAGACACTTACTGGTTGCTGGCTTACTACAGCATGGTTTAACAAGCAAGGAAACAATGCAGGACACTTCCAAATTCCCATACTAACATTGGTTATCTTGACTAGTGTCAACCATAATTCTGTACTACATTTGATTAATGCCTTAACCCATCTTCACACTTATGGCATCATTCTAAACATTTATACCTTGTTTTTTGTTTGTTTTAAATACACAAAGTAGTTAAGAAAACTGACAAAATATCAGTAAAAAATATGTATCACAATAGTAACAAGAAGCATACAGCAAGTCCTGGTCACCTCCTGTGTGGGTTACTGTAACGCACTGTATGTGGGGCTGCCTTTAAAGAGTATTTGGAAGCTTCATCTGGTGCAAAATGTGGTGGTGTGGGTACTTATTTGTCCACGTAGTTTAGTGCATGTTACACCTCTACTTCATGAGTTGCAATGGCTACCAGTTTGCTTCCGGGTTCAATTCAAGGTGTTGGCGATCACCTAAAAAGCTCTATATGGCATGGGACCAGGGTATTTGAGGGATCACCTCGCCCCTATTACAGCTACCCATTGCATCGGATCCAGAGAAATTGCATGCTGCAATGCAGCTCCTGTCCACGGAGGAATGTCATTCGGTAGAACCCAAAAGGAGACCTTTTCTGCTGCAGCACCTGTCCATTAGAACATCATCTCCCCTGAGGTGATACTAGCTCCAACCTTGCTGGCTTTCCAGAAGAGCCTGATTACATGGCTTTTGCATGTTGTCTGAGGATCAAGTTACTGTATATTGGTGGAAAGCCACTTATACTGTTAGGAAAATGAATGGTGTTCTCCTGCTGATTGTGTTCTTGTTTTTTTTAATAGTTTTGAGTGTTTTTAATTTTTTTGTGGTTATTTTATTGTCTTAGATTGTTTTTTGGATTGTTTTGTTTTAGTTGAGATGGGAGGTTGTACAAATTTAACAATTAAATAAATAAAGGAAATATGTAAGTCGGTACCAGTGACTAAAAAGTAGACAATCAAATAAAATGTTTGGCAGAAGAGCAGAAAGTAAAGTCAAATCAACTATTACTAAGAGACTACCTAAACCCATATAAATTTAAGAGTGCAACAGGTGAGTTTTCCAGGAAAAAGGAAAGAAAAGCCTACTGTTCATACCGAAAAGACAATATAATGATTCAAAACCAGGAAACAAATATTGATCTGAACAAAGTATGCAGTTTTCAAAACTGGATGCCTTATATTTCTCTAAGCATCTTATTCAATCTAATTTAGAGTGTTGATTTATGACACAGAGCTCCAATTTAGCCTGTACATGATTTTGGATGTACAGGTAGTCCTAACTTATTGACCACTCACTCAGCAACTGTTCGAAATTATGACAGTACTGAAAAATGAGACTTACAACTGGTCCTCAAAGTTTCATCTGTTTCACCATCACTAAGGTCATGTGATTGTGAGACAGGCACTTGGCAACCGGCATGCATTTAGACAGTCACAGTTTCCTCCATGATCGCCTTTTGTGACCTTCACAGCTGGCTTCCAACAAAGTCAATGGGGAAGCTGGCAGGAAGTCACAACTCATGGTCACCCATGCTTAACAACCCACGGTCAGTTACTTAACAACTGAAGCTGGAACTGACATTGTTAAGTCAGCATGGTCATACAACATCACGCTTAACAACCACGCTGCTTAGTGATGGAGTTGCCAGTCCCTATTGCAGGCAGTAAGTGAGGACTACCTGCATGTATATGAATCCCTTGAAAATGCTCTTTAAATGCATCATGAGGTCTTATGTTAGCAAAGTGGAATTTTGACTTTATTTCCCTGAACCATCAACCTTCATGACACTGACGATTCCCACACCATAAACTGCTCCTGAAACTCTTGAAAAGCAGTTTGTTCCAAAATACATGGAACAATGAATAAATATGATAATCTTACCTTTCCCATATACTGTGAACAGTTGGATTCTTGCATTAAATTTGAAGCTTCCTGTTTATAATATTCCCCTGTTTCATTCAGAAAAGGACTCTCAAAAATTTCCTGGTAAAACTAATTTAAGAAAGTCTCATCAAGCACAAAGAATTATATAAAGGCATGGAAAAAATATTTATCAGAGTTTCCCAAGAGAGAAATAAAACTTTTTACCTTCAGAGGGACTTTTTTCTTATATTGTTCAACATGAACAAAGGAGTTAATGACCCCATGGATTACTTTCTGATTTGGATCTTCTCCACAACGATCACTGAAAGATGGAAAAATAAAACTCTCAAAATTTATACTATTTATCACTGTCTAAACCAGTGTTTCTTAACCTCAGCAACACTGAAATGTGTGGACTCCAACTCCCAGAATTCCCCAGCCAGGAATCCACACATCCCAACATTTCAGAGATGGAGAAACACTGGTCTAAACTTTAAAACCGACTACCCAATGATAAAGCTGCTGTTCACAGAAAAATGCTGAAGCAGATTACATTCTGTGTAATATAATTGTTTTTTTAAAATCTGTATGTTTATATAAAAGACCTGAAGAAAATGGGTACTTATTTTGAGGATGAAGTAACTCACCCAAATTTTTCTTCACATATTACAGTAGTTATAAAATAGTGATAAGTAGGTAATGACTAAAGATTGGGAATTTTTACAAGTATTTATGTTAAAAGAGATCAGGCAAGGCTAAGAGTCTCTGATAAATCTAAAACCATGCTAGAGGGAGACATACTTTCTTTATTCTATCTTAAAGTCTTCACCATATGAGGTGTGCATTTGGGGACAGCAGGAGTTTGAGTCCAGTACATCCACAGCTCAACAACTTAAAACCCTCTCCAAAATTGGAATAATAATAATAATAATAACAACAACAACAACAACTGCAGAGACTCTGGCATAATGGTTCCAGTGGTAATTGGCACACTGGGTGCTGTGCCTAAAGACCTAGGCAAGCACTTAAAAACAATTGGCGCTGACAAGATCACCATTGGTCAGCTGCAGAAGGCCACCTTACTGGGATCTGCTCGCATAATCCGCCAATACATCACGCAGTCCGAAACACTTGGGAAGTGTTCGACTAATGATTTGTGATACGAAACCCAGCATGGTTATCTCGTTTGCTGTTTATACTGTCATTTCTGTGTATAATAATAACAACAACAATAATAATAATAATATACTCAGACATTACCTTAACAGCTCTTAGGTCCTTGGTTAGGACTTGAACTGTTACGTTTTTACCAGTCCCAGACTGTGAATTGAATTGCAGATTAAATCATAAATAATTCCCCAGTGAGATACTACCTTGACATGTTTGTGGGGCTTGTGTGCTCTGAGGAAGATGAAAGCTATGCCAGAGGATCAACCATACTGGACAGTTCTCATCAGAGGAGCCAGACAAAGAGTGTCTCTCCTGTAAAAATATGGTGAGTCATAAATTATAGAAATCTATACAGGCTGGGTCATCCCCCGTGTTAATAAGGACTTCACTAGATGTTGGAGTTCCTGGATATCTGGTGAAAAATGGGTTATAGGACTCAGGACTGTTGGCTGAGCAACCAGGGCCACCAACTGCAGAACTACTGGAAAAGATGTTTACCCCTTGCAAATGTACAGTAATTGAAAACAAGAAAAGGGTATTTGAAACTAATGCACCAGTTCTGGAAACAACAACAGCCAGGATAGAAATAACAGAACAGAGGCTAGGAGATTAATGTTGATTTATAATACAAAATATTCACAGAAGCAGAACTAAAAGAACTGCAAAGTCAAAGCCTTGCCAGAAGTAACCCAGACTGTAGAGGCAAACCAGGGGGAGTTGGCAGTAGAGGAATCCAGCAGACATATACATCTGTTTTTATTTGGAAACCAGGCACCCTCTCCTCTGCCTCAGGAAGAACAAAGCCCTCTAGCTAAAGAAGTAGAAGAACTGAAACAAAGAATAACTGAGCATCTAGAACAGCACAAAAACATCAGAATAAGGCTGCCTGCATTGAAGCAAAAGAAACAGCTAGCACAAGCATTAAAAGATGCAAATACTGCAATATTAAGTACTAGCCATGAACTCACTGCAAGAAACAAACCAACTAATGAACAGCACAGCTGCAGTTATAACTGAATACCTGGGATGCAAAATCAACTAAAAAGAAAACAAAAACAGTGTACCACCAAAATGGAAAATCAGCCTGGAAAATAAGATTAGCAAAGTAAGGTAGAACAGATGAAAGAAAAGAAGCTTAAGAACATGAAGACCAACAAATACCTGATCAAATAGAAACTTAGAAACAAGGAAGGTCAAGGAAGCACTGAAAATAATAAAGCAGCAAATAACAGCTATAGCCAAGAAGATCAGCAGACACAAAGCTCAAATTGCAAATTATAGGCAGAACCTCCAATTTCAATCCAATCAGAAATCTTTCTACCAATCCATCAATGGAGAAACTGCAGTGAATCAGTCAGTACCTGAAAAATGAAGAAACAGTGCAGTTCTGGGCGCAGATATGGGATAACCTAAAGCAGGGGTCCTCAAACCTGGCAACTTTAAGACTTGTGGACTTAGGACTTCCGGTGGCACTTCTGTTGAGGATGGACGGAGACTGTGATCGTGCACGGCTTCAATCCGTGCTTACCCTATTGGAGGGGTCCCTACGGGACTGAACCATCAGACCCACCTTGGAGGGGTGGGGGAAGAGGGGGAGACTGCCAGCTGGGTTGAGGGGAGCCGCATCTCCCCTCCCTGGCTTGGTATACTTCCCTGGAAGACAGGGAGAAGCGGCAGTTTAATGGCTGCCCTGAACACGGGAAGCTGCCGGGACCTAAGTTTGTGCTGGAGAGTGGAAGTGGTGAGCGGCATGTAACTGGATAAAAGACTTTGAATATTTTTTTTGAAAACCCCGAAAAGCGGAAAGAAAGAGTCCTCGCTTGGAAGAATGGTAGCAGTGAACGGAGAATAAGAGGAAAATATAAGAGAAAGGAAAAACCCGAAATAAAATAATTATATGAAATCAGATATTAAATTTGAACTAATATACAGAATTGGACATTAATTAGGCATTGGATAAAATGGACTTATTTGAATTGGATAAAAATTAACATTAATACTACAGAAAAGAGAATTAAAAAAAACTTTGAAAAGAACGTGAGGACACTTCCGCTTGCCAGCCTTGGTGACAGCAGGGAGTTGCGTTTCTTCGCGATCCCTGCTGTGCTCACTGTCTTGGTGCCTCCGATCCAGATGGATTTGGAGGATAAGGTTGCCTTGTAGGGACAGCCGAAGATAGGGAGGATCTGGGGAGGGTATGGGGGTGCCGCAGACCCCCCCCGCACCCAGTTTAAACCTCCTTCTCTCAAGACGCTGTAGCGACGGTCTTATGGCCGCCATGAAGAGGCTGGCATCCGGGATAAGATTGCGCAGGAGGGGTGCTGAAGGAGGAAAAAAAAACAGAGAAAGCTTTTGGCTGAACCGGGACAACAATTAACATCTGAATACCCTGGAACTTTGGCTTTTCAAGTGATTTATTGTTTTTCCAAAGGATCGTTAAGCTGCGGTGGATGAGTAAGGGAAAACCTTTTCTTTTTCCTCACTTTCCTTCTCACGGAGGCAGCAGATGGAAACCTGAAACACCCGTATTGGCAATAGAAGGTATTAACTTTCAAAATTGAAGCCAAGGGGAAATTATATTTTCAAATATTGATTCTTTAAAACTCAAACCTTTTTGTTTTAAGGGGGAAGGAAGAGAGATAAATGATTTATACTAACGTTTGTTGAAGGAGACTGCTTGGAGTTTTATAAGACTAGAGTCTAAACTGTAATAAAACTTCCAAAAAATGTCTTGGAATTTTGTAATTGAATTCTCCCCCAGGAAGAGCAAATGACTTTGGGACTTTAACTATCTTTTGAAAGACTAAGAAAACATTTGGACTGCTTAAAAAAATAAAATAAATCCTTTTCTGTTCACAATGGTGTCTTTTGAAGAATTGAAAATGCAGTTTGAAAAATTAAGACAGGAGGAAGATGGCTCTTTTGGATCTATTTTTGGCTTTTTAGAAATGGCGATTTGTGCTTACCAGGAAATGCAACAAGAAAGAGGCTGGGACGATGAAGAAGAAGCCATCTTTAATGGACATATGATTTCAAAAAAGGGTAAAAAGGAGAAGAAAATCAAGAATTTAAGCTCTACAAAAACAATTAAGAAAGGGAAAAGAAAGGTGAAAAATCGATATAATGATAGAAAGCAATGGAAAAGAGGAATGCAACAGAGAGGGGAGATTAAAAAGTGGGAGATTGAGAGGGGGGGTAAAAAGGCTAGAATTGATAAGGAAGGAAGAGACAAAGCAAAGGGAAGTTATAAGGACTTTAAACAAGATGTTGTTTGTTTTGTTTATAAGCAACTTTTTTTCAGAGACAAAGGGTAAAATAAAGTTTTAATAGAGATTCTGCAAAGGTACACAAGACTGCATTTTATATTTGTATTTGAAATATGTGTTAATAAAATATTGTAGGGACTGTGTAATTGATGTGTATTTAACTAATTTGTTAGGGAATACTATTTTTAATATCTATAAGAATATTACGTTTGTTTGTTTTTTAAAAATGTTATTTAGAATGTACTAAGCAGAATCAGAATAGAAATAATGTTTAATTTTAAGCGTTGAATTTGGGGGGAAAATAGAAAGGTGTCATACTTCAACCAGTTATTACAGGGACAAGATTGTGTTCAAGAGAAAGATAAATGGATGATTGAAAAAGAACGGACAAAAAATACAAATGAAATGATTTAAATTGAGATTAAATAAGTAAAGTAGAATTAAGAGAGTGAAAAGAGGGGAGAAGATATCTGTAAAATGTAGAATCTTTAACAGGATATGAAATAGTATATAAGCTGAGCATGAATTTAATTTAAGTCTGTACCAAAAGTTATAACCCGGGGTTAAGCTGCTTTCTAAAAAGAAGTTTTATATTTTTTATGTTATGTATGTTAGGAATAACATAGGTTACCTAACGTAGTTTGGGTAAAATAATATATATTAACTATGATTGTAAGTTTAAGTGTGTGTCACTTTAAAACTGCAAAGCATGTAATTTTGGGTGCGGTGTGAAACCACCATAAGAGGGAGCAAGAGAACCTGATTGATTGCTGACAATTACTGGATTGCATGGATTGATGGTTTGTTAACTGCGTGTTTCCCTTACTGCTGAGTTGCTGAAGGAAGAGAGGAGTTTTTGAGTTCTTCATATCTCTACTGCAAGGAG